AGAGATGGGGTGTCGGACTGTGGTTTCGTGAATAGGAAGTAGAAAGGAACACGAATATATATATATAAGAATAATCACGAAAAAATTATTTACACATCAAAAACATACCAGTTGTAGTATTACGAAAAAATTAAATAATTACGTGAAAATTATTTACACATCAAAACATACCAGTTGTAGTATTACAACCGACAATATGCAACAGTAAAAATAATATAAGAAATTGCATATTTAAACAAGATTAATTAATAAAAAATATAATTACTTATATTTAAAATTAAATAATTATGGGATAATTATCCATATAGTAAAACATACCAGCTATACTAATATAACAGATAATATGTAATAGAAGAAATAATACAACAAATTATATAAATAATACGTAATTAATAATATAACGTATTATACAAAATAATATGTAATAATAATAATAATACAATATATTATTTAAAAATAATACGTAATAGTATCGATAATACAACAGATTAATTCTAGAAATTTTACCCATACAAAATTAATTTATAAATATTAATATCATTTAAATAAATATAAAACTTGGACTTTAAATCATAGGAAAATCTAGAAAATCAAGAAAAATACAAATACCCTTTTAAAAATCATAATTAGATATTTTAAAGTACTAGAAAATTATTTTAATTAATATCAAAATTTTGCGAACCTTACACTTCTCTATTCAATCGAGCAAAACCGTTCGAGTCAGCTACATCTTGAAACACATGTCCATATCCCCCACCTTCAAAGTCCGGGAAGAAGAGGAATATATGATAGTTGAGATCTCTCAATAAGATTTAATGAACCTTAACTACATACATTCCTTCCCATGTAGCTTTTTCTAACCTCTGTACGAAGGGGACGAATACATCGCCTGAGGAAGATGGTGAACTCATTAAGTGAGGACAATGAGATACGAACCATGCCATCAGATAGGTATATGGCAATGGTACTCGAGGATTAGGAGTTATCAAACATTTCTTCTCTCCGGAGCTTATCTCTTTCACCTGAATGAATTTGAGGCACAGTTCCCTTAGACCATGCTACAAATAGCACATCATAACTGAAAGTAAATTCATAGGCCTCCCATAGGCCAAGAGAAAAGCCGGATAGACTACTTCTGTTATCACGACATCTATCGGTCTGGTAGGGATGACGCATCATTTTAGCCATAATATGAGAAACCTCGCCATCAAAGCCATGTCAGAAATGGGAGTGGTTGCTTGGTGATGAAAGCTTTCGAACTCAGTCTGAGCATGGAAGTCGTCTTCTCTTCCCTCATTGACATAATGAATTATGGCGTCATTCATCAAAGTTTGAATAGTTTCAGGGATACTCACATCTCGATGAGACACAGCAGCAACTTTGTGAGATAAGTTCTGGAAGAGATATTCGGCCCAAGATAGCTGCTTTACACTACCTCCGTGTGTCCCCGTCAGTTGGGTACAAATTTGCAAATAACACATCACCTCCCATATGGTGTCATAGATCTCCAAAGGGATGGCCGAAAATGTCATACGTTTCATGGATAGCAAACCCTAATTTCCCAACTGGAGTAAAGAATGTACACGTCTCTAGGTTTTATCTCTCTAGGATAGCATAAAAATTGTAATGGCTATGATCAGTTAGATCCTTTGTTTTGATGATGATTTACAAACACCATTATTGGTGCTAATTGTTTATTGAGCTATATTGTAGATCACATATCATTAGCACCTTTTATGGAGGATTGGATGGAAAATGAGCTATAACGACAATATCCAAGGAGGTGGAAGCAAAGTGATGAAGCAAAGCTTTCAAGAGCACTATATTCATGAGAAGCTTCATCAAGTCAAGAGCGAATATCAAGACTCAAGTCATGTACTCATATGTGAGGGATATTTGCTATTTTGTTTTCTCTCTAGTACTTAATGTAGGCAAGTAGTTTGTTGATTACATTTGAAGATCATGGGATAGCACACTTGCACACTTTCAAAAACTCGTATTTTGGTACTTTTGCTAAAACATTGATTTTCACAAATACGAGGACCTTTTTGCAAAATTCCTTTTCAAACAAGTTTGATAAAATGTTTATAAACTATTTACAAAGTTTTACAATTTTTGGAATTTATTTACTATTTTTAACAGAACTTTAAAACACAATTTCAAAATCATTTCAAGCTAATAACCTATTATCAGTCGACTGATCAGTCGACTGATGAAATCAGTCGACTGATGTGTCAACCGATGAAAATGCCTAGAATCATTAAAATGTTTTTGTTTTGTTTTGGTCGACTGATCAGTCGACTGACGAGTTATCAGTCGACTGAAAGTGATCGTCAGTCGACCGATAAGCTGATATTTGAATACAACACTCAGATCATCAGTGGACTGATGCTTCCCATCAGTCAACTGATAAGCACAGTAACGACTAGTTTTTTACAGAATTTGTTTCTCGATTTCTGTGGTTTTTCTGCTAATTCTTTTGGGTTTTTGCTGTTGTATTCTCTTCCTAAAAATACATAACAACCCCAACTACTTCAGTAACAAAGATTTTATTACAAATCTCTTGTGTTTGAGTTTATTATTTTCAAAGAGCTTCAACTTTTATTTGCTTTCACTATTTTAAAACCTACATCCCAAGCTTCAATTGCAATCTTCTCTCTTACAATAGGGCTACTATAAAGAGAGAGTTTCTCTTCGATTTTCTACTGTTGTGAGCTTGATCTCTTGGAGACCTATTATGTGGTTGTGAGATCTCGGTGGAGACCATTGTGTAGAAGAAGTTCCAGCTTTCAAACGAGGTGTATAGTGGATTTCTCCCCGAGAGTAGGAAACGGGGATGTAGGTCAGCAGACCATGAACATACCGTGTGTCATCAATTGGCTAACTATCTCTATCCCTACTCTTTTTTATTGTCATTGCATTTTATATTTATGTGTGATTTGTTAGAATATCTTTTAATTGCATATTATTTATCCATAAACTCTATTCACCCCCCTCTAGGGCCTTTCATGATCAATGCCATATCTGGTAGCCATTATAGGATAGCCAAGCCCAGATCGAGCTAACGGTCACTCTAACTCTTTCAACACAAATTTCATCATTCTCGTCCACCACCCTGCTCTGGTGGAATGCACCCATCCGGTAGTTCTAAACACTGAATAAGGTAAATCCCCTTTCACAGCCAGAAATCTCCACATGAAGGTGTTGGCTGGATTAGATGTTTCCCCCATAGGGTATCCTCTTAAGAATAAGCATGGCTCTAAAGCTGACACCCGTCAGTTGTAGCCCACAGTTTGCACGCTAGTAAAAAGTCAAAGCCAAAATGGCCACTCCATCCTACCTCTAACAAGATCCTAATACATATATCGGGAAATGGAGGCGCATTGGTAATATGAGCTAGGGAACATCCTCTGCATATCAGGAAAGAAGAAGCAGTGATCTCCTATCTGCCTTAACCATTTGTAACCCCCACCAAATGAGATTTCATTCTGAATGACAACGTTTTCTCCAAACAGAAAGGCCGGCTTAACGAATTTCTTACGAGACTTCGTTTCAAACTTGCCATCTATATCCAAAATCTGGAGTATGGACGGACTAGCTGGGGTGATCAAAGCAGCACGTTCCCCGTCAGCATCTTGGAAGTTCTTAATGCAAATTGAATTGCATATTTAAATCTACATCACCTTTATGACAAAAGTGATGGCGAAAAGTGAGGGGTTCATTGACATAAGGCACTACAAAAAAGAAGAGCAATCAGTTAGCATGAAGATGAAACAACAAAAGACTTAACCCAGTTGCAAAAGACGGACCCCTTGTTAGAATATTCAAACATAGAGGTCAGACCCTGCATTAAACCATTCAAACGCAGAGGTCAGGACCTGCGTTAAAACATTCAAACGTAGAGGTTAGGCCTTGTGTTAAACCATTCAAATGCAAAGGTCAAGCCCTGCGTTAAACCATTCAAACGCAGAGGTCAGGGCTTGCGTTAAAACATTTCAACACAGAGGTCAGGCCCTGTGTTAAACCATTCAAACATAGAGGTCAAGCCCTGTGTTAAAACATTCAAACGCAGATGTTAGACCCTGCTTTAAAACATTCAAACACATGGGTCAGGCCCTACGTTAAACCATTCAAACGCAGAGGTCAGGCCCTACGTTAAAACATTCAAACACAGAGGTTAGGTCTTGTGTTAAAACATTCAAACGCATAGGTCAGACCCTGCGTTAAACTATTCAAACATAGAGGTCAGACCCTATGTTAAACTATTCAAACTCATAAGTCAGACCCAACATTAAAACACTTAAATGCAGAGGTCAGACCCTGGGTTATAAAAGTTAAACGCAGAGTCCAAATCCTACATTGTAAAAGTTAAACGTAGAGTCCAAACCCTGTGTTGTAAAAATTAAGCGTAGAGTCCAAACCCTGCATTGCAAAATCAAAGCGCAAAGGTCGAACCCCCACGCTTTAAATTCCAAACAACAGAGCCCCAACTCTGTGTTATGCCATTAAAACAAGTTTCCTCGTTATTCTAAGATCAAAACTTGTGGAAGCAAATTTTACAGTCACAAATGCCACACTTACCATTGACGAATGGGAACTGTGGCGGCGGC